ATAAAACTAAATTTTATATATATATATATATAATTTTATATTATATGTATAATTATTAATTATATATTATGTATATATATAATTTTATATTATATATAAAAAGGTCTCGAATTATTTAGTTAATAGATACTAAATTTTATATATATAATTATTAATTATATAATTATATTATATATATATATATAATATAAAATTTAGTATATATATATATATATATATATATATATATATATATATAATATACATATAATATATAATTATATAATTAATAATTATATATATAAAATTTAGTATCTATTAACTAAATAATTCGAGACCTTTTTATATATAATATAAAATTATATATATACATAATATATAATTAATAATTATACATATAATATAAAATTATANAGTGAATCAATAGAATCGTGAAATGATATCAAAATTGCGTTTGTAACGTGCGCGACAGAACTTGTGCAACAATCCAATGCCCAAAGAATGTGAGAAGCAAAGAGCCTGAAGCAAAGGGCTAAAAAAAGCCGGACAAAAAAATAAAACCGGATAAAATTGTCGAATCTGCCCTTAGCGGTTTTTCAACGCGCGTTGCGCCGATTTATAGGTGACCAAAAGATGAAACCCTCTGTGCAAAATCTCAACCCTCTAGCTTTTCGGGGAAGGAGGGTAGTTACAGGGTAAATTAGATCGCGCGCTTTCCCGCCCATCTTTCCTCTCTCGTCGGATGCTTAAAATTTTGAAGAAAGTCTGACCTATTTCGTAGAACAGGCCGCGCGTTCGAGAATTTTTACACATTTTTCGGCTGTGAAAAAAAGAAGATAAAAAGCGATAAAAAAATCGGAAAATTGCTGATCTCTCGAAAACAAACAAATGCGCCCTCCTCGCCATTTTATCAATTTTTGTCAGATTTTTTCTGCTGGAAAGGGTTGAAATGTGGGGTTTCTCATGGTCACGTATTGATTGGTGCAACGTTCGAAAACCGCTTAGGTCAGTTGTGACCGTTTTACCTGGACAGGCCCTTTGGCGACACGAAATTTTAATCGAACTATTCGAATGAAATAAATTCGTTGTAATGAATAGTGAATACGAGAGAAAAAATCACGTTTCAAATACTTTTAAATTAAATTTAATTCGTAGAGTATGCGTCGAATTTCTTGCAGCACGATAGAACATAACCTATACTAATTAATAGCAAGACGAACGAATTCAAACGAAGGAACATTCGCATGAAATGGACAATAAAGCAACGAGATATCTCGTTCGACGACGCTCAGTGTGGTATCTTTAGACGTACTATGTCACTCAGAAATATTTAATCACTCGTTTAATCAATGCTATAAATTATGTAGCATTATATAATTATTCAATAAATTATATAGCATTATATAATTATTCAATAAATTATACAGCATTATATAATTATTCAATAAATTATATAGTATTATATAATTATTCAATAAGTTATATAGCATTATGTAATTATTCAATAAATTATATAGCATTATATAATTATTCAATAAGTTATATAGCATTATGTAATTATTCAATAAATTATATAGCATTATATAACTACTGTCTCTTATACACATCTAGATGTGTATAAGAGACAGATATAATGCTATATAACTTATTGAATAATTATATAATGCCTGTCTCTTATACACATCTAGATGTGTATAAGAGACAGATATAATGCTATATAACTTATTGAATAATTATATAATGCCTGTCTCTTATACACATCTAGATGTGTATAAGAGACAGATATAATGCTATATAACTTATTGAATAATTATATAATGCCTGTCTCTTATACACATCTAGATGTGTATAAGAGACAGATATAATGCTATATAACTTATTGAATAATTATATAATGCCTGTCTCTTATACACATCTAGATGTGTATAAGAGACAGATATAATGCTATATAACTTATTGAATAATTATATAATGCCTGTCTCTTATACACATCTAGATGTGTATAAGAGACAGATATAATGCTATATAACTTATTGAATAATTATATAATGCCTGTCTCTTATACACATCTAGATGTGTATAAGAGACAGATATAATGCTATATAACTTATTGAATAATTATATAATGCCTGTCTCTTATACACATCTAGATGTGTATAAGAGACAGATATAATGCTATATAACTTATTGAATAATTATATAATGCCTGTCTCTTATACACATCTAGATGTGTATAAGAGACAGATATAATGCTATATAACTTATTGAATAATTATATAATGCCTGTCTCTTATACACATCTAGATGTGTATAAGAGACAGATATAATGCTATATAACTTATTGAATAATTATATAATGCCTGTCTCTTATACACATCTAGATGTGTATAAGAGACAGATATAATGCTATATAACTTATTGAATAATTATATAATGCCTGTCTCTTATACACATCTAGATGTGTATAAGAGACAGATATAATGCTATATAACTTATTGAATAATTATATAATGCCTGTCTCTTATACACATCTAGATGTGTATAAGAGACAGATATAATGCTATATAACTTATTGAATAATTATATAATGCCTGTCTCTTATACACATCTAGATGTGTATAAGAGACAGATATAATGCTATATAACTTATTGAATAATTATATAATGCCTGTCTCTTATACACATCTAGATGTGTATAAGAGACAGATATAATGCTATATAACTTATTGAATAATTATATAATGCCTGTCTCTTATACACATCTAGATGTGTATAAGAGACAGAAATTATACAGCATTATATAATTATTCAATAAATTATATAGCATTATATAATTATTCAATAAATAATATAGCATTATATAATTATTCAATGAATTATATATATTATTATTATATTATTATTCAATAGAAAAAAACAAGTAGGATTAGAAAGTGCTAACAAATTCTAGATAGTAGAAGTGATTAAATATTTTTGGCGACGATGTGTATAAGTGTGTTTGTTCCTGTGGTGTCGCCAGTCGTTTCTGCATGAGCATTGCTCTATCCGCCTAATTGCTGCGCGTCCTATCGGTTGCTAAATTAAACAAGGAGTAAAAGCCGAAAACTCGCTTTCGAATAGAACGTGGAAACAGGTCACGAAGTTACGCAAGCCGTGCCAAAGGTTTCCCGAGGCTGCAACCAATTTGCTTCCGCTTCGAGTTCGGGAATTATTATTTTTTCCTTGCGCCAGCGCATAAAAACTCGCTAATCGTCTTTTCCACATTGGAGCGCATTCTTTGAGAATTTCACTCGCACTATGCGGAGCGTTCCAAAATTATAGT